CGAGTGAAACCATGCGTAGCAAGTTTCACGTTGGATTCCATCGGCTACCTCTCCGCTTGAGCGTTGGGGGTTACCAGAGATCTGCTCGTTTCGCAGGATGTTTACTTGAAGAACCTTTAGCCATGCCTATTTGTTATTATGGAAGCATTGGAGAATGGTGAAAAAAGGGTCAACCCTATCTCAAGGTAAGAGCTAGTGGGCCTCAAGGTAGGTGAACCAACTCAGGGAAAAACAGGGCAACTCACTTGCGAGAAAGTTTCGTCACTGAGCTGTTGGCCCAACCCACAGCCGCCTATCGCTAAGCGTCGCGATATTGTCCAAGGTGGGTGTTTCAATTTTCACTTTAGCCTGATCTAAGTATCTCTACCGTGTTTCAGATACGGTTTGTAAAGTCTGGCCTCCCGATTTGCCTTCTGCTTCCGGTCTTCTCAAACCCACGGCAAAATTTTGAACCACGGCGGTCCTTACGCTTGAAATTCGCGATTAAAGCAACAATGAGTCCATCCGGGCGAACCGCTGTCAATCTTGAAGTAAAAAGCGCTACGAAGCACGACCGTCAGCACCCAGTGGAAAGTCGCGATCACTCGCTTACCGTCTTTACCGTAGGTTATCTGAATATAAGCAGTGTCAATGACCCAAAATCGGGGGAATAACCTTACCCCCAGGTTTCAGTGCCGTTCAGTTTTCTGTCGTGAATGGCCACGGCGGTTTCGTTGTGAACGGTCCGGTGCACTTAGGTGTATTAAGCACGATGACAGTTCACAGCACCGGAATTCTCATGGTTTGCTTCTATAAAATCATTAACCACACTGCTTCTGAAATCGCTCAAGTCTGCTCAGTGCAACGGAAGATTTGAGGTGAACACAACGTGAACCATGCGGGACCGTGTGCGGTTTCGCCGAATGTGCTGATATCCATTATTAGTTATTACTGTTCGTGTATCAATGGCCAGCCTCGTGGTCGCTGACACTAGCCATCGACTCAACAGCTTGATCCAGATCAACGAGTCTATTCTCAGAAATATTTCAGCCAGGAACACTCACTAAGGACTCACCATTATTAACGAAACACCACGGTCGATCAATAGTATTAACTGGCTTCCCGNTTGATTCGGCAGGTTACACATCGGCCTGTACGGTGACCTGTACTGCGCAGCAGGTCATGCTCACGGACAAAAAACGGATACATCGTAACTGCTACGACATAACCCAACCAAGACAATAACAGCATTAGTCAATCAAATGCTAAATTTGATCAGTGGGTCAGTCATATTCCCCGGATTGGGGAACACAATAATAGGGAAACATGAAAAGAACGCCATAAATGTGGCTATGCATAAACAGTAGTCGCTGTTACTATTCTCATTTTTTCAAACACCCACAAAAAAGGACCGGGGCAGCTTTACAAACTTAGAATTTTCGAGGTAAATTGGAATTGTCCTAGGCAGAAAAGGTTTATTCTAGGGCAATGGTATCAGAAAAGCCCATCGCAACTGTATTCCCTTTTAACGTTTCCACATCAGTGGACAGTTGGGTAGGAGGAACGCCAAAAGCACTGACCAAAACAGTTGTTTATTGATCAAACATCGCCCGCAACTTTAACGTCACAATTTACACCGGGTTCCAGGTAGATGTGTTTCAGCTGCTGGGCTGCTTCATCAGTGGAAAGCAAGTCAATCACTCGTTTGTGGATACGCATCTGGAAACGATCCCATGTTTTTGAGCCTTCACCACAAGGAGTCTTTCGAGTGGTGATACGCAGTACCTTGAAGAGTAATTCAAGCACAACGAGAAACGTACCTTGGTGGGCATCCGAACGGGACCCTTGACTCGAAGGTTTTGGTCCTTGGCCCGTTTGATGAGATCCGCTGACACTAATTCCAAAGGCTTCACGCTCGCGGCAGTAAGCGTTATTCTCACCCAATTCTTCGCACCAAGTTGCGGAACCTCCGGCTTCTTCTCGGCCATGCTTGCGGTGAACGCGCCAAACGGTTGACCTTGAAAGTGACGATCGGAAGAACAAACAAAAACTTAAATTCAATTCACAGGACGTAGAGAGTCCTTCGCCTCCTGGTTCAGTTCAGTTCATTTCAGTTTGCACAGAAAGGAAGTGGTTCATACCAACTGTTCGTCCAGATCGTTGTGTTGTCTTGAAGTCTTAAAGTATTTCNATTGATGGGTAATTCCCGCTGACGAGAAATTGAGAGCACGGCCCGCTAGTGAGGGGGATTCGGTTACTTGAAAGGAGGAACCTGAAGGGGAAGAGGGGAGCGGAGGGGTGCAGTATCTGCTTGCAGTGCACAAATATGTGCATCTGGATAGTGAACACGTTTTTACATGCACAGAAGTAAAATNNCACATAATGTACGCTTAGAGATACGAAGGAAATTTATGACACTTTGTCTTCAAAAAGCTTTTCTTTTTTCATATGTTTTCGCTTTGTTTTTGTTTTTTTGGTTTATTTTTGCATGCACAAATATACACAACATCAACCAAAATTATGACTCAATGCCGTTGGGATAAATGCATTTAAAACCAGTACGCGGTTGATGGAGATATAAATGAACAGATCGAGAGGGAGCAAGTAGTGGGAGTTGGTTGCAGCATGTTTAAGACCAAAGAATATATCGAGCTTGTGTTTGAACGTACTCTTTGAAGGCGCGTCACCAACCTCCTGCGGAAGGCTGTTCCTTAATGGAATGACGCAGTGGGTAAGGAACCAGCGACGAATTCGGATGCGGGGCCGAGGCTTAAACAGCTTTTGCTGTGACCACGAAGAGTATCTAAGCTACATGGTATGGAAAACTGGTTTGCCGTGTCCTTAGAGAATAAATGGTAGAGAAGAAAAAGGTCCGCTCGAATGCGGCGGGTGTTTAGGGGGTAAAGGTTCAGTGTGGTGAGACGGATGGGGTACGGAAAATGGAAGAGACCTGAGAAAAGCTTTGTGGCTGCTCGCTGAACATTTTCGAGGAAGTTACGATCACCCAAAAGCCCAGAGCGCGCGATTTGGGCTACGTATTCTAATAGTGGTCTTACATAAGTGCCATATAAGAGTTGGAAGCCTTCTTTATCAACGCGAGGGAAGGAGCGCTTGATATAGTTCAGGTTCCCAAAAGCCTTTTATCGGGCTTTTCGGTGGTGGCAAGTAAAAGATAGAGAGTTAGATAACCAGAAGCCAAGAATCTTGTGCTGGTCTGAAGTCGGGATGTGTTGCACACATTGAAGGTGTGCGCGCAGCCCCTGCTAAAGGACATACTTGCACATTTGTCACTTTCGCAACCAATTTCATATCAGTACACGGATCCAGCCTCAAAGCTAGATCTGTGGAGCACAAGCTCTGCAGGTACATACTTGTAAAGGTTTTGTGACCCCTTATTGCTAACTTGAGGTATATATATACTTTTATAGGTATACGTACTTCCTTGATTTATTCCGCGGTGCATACTGTTTGTGACATGTTCTGTTCCCTCAAATCCTTCTCAGCTGGGTATCATCCCAGACTGTTATGTATCGCCTTCTTGTTCTAGATTCGGTTGGTTTGGGCCTGCCGAAGGCTTGGGGTCTACACCCACAATGGAAAATTTGGCTCGGCAATGGTTATTGGGCACGGCTGTCTCCACCGTTTTGGCTACATGCGTCGGCATTCCGGACCAGGTTGAGGATCACACCCCCTGCCTCACCTAAAAGGTGTTTCAAGGTTGGATGTCTAGCGTGTAGTTAGTCCCACATCAAAGCGACCAACGCTTAAATCAATCCATTGGCGATCGAAGCCCCGAACCTTATGAATGTGTTCTCAGAAGCAAGCTGTTATGCACCTGATGGAGAAACATGTATTTCACAACTGTATGAACTCTTTCCCATTCATTTCTAGCCGTGAGTCTCCATCTCCTCCCGTTCTTTGTCTCACAGACCGTCGATCCGTGTCTTCCTCCTATAAAATCCGCACGTCGAATCCTCTCGATGCAATGTTCGCTCTTCCTTAAATTTCCGTTGACATGCTTATCCAGTGAATTCCTCCATCCTCCAGATATGCGTATGTGACATTGTCCGCTTTGTGTTCTGTTTGAACTGCGTTTTCATTCCGGTCCCCCACCGTCTCCATTGTGCATATCTTCTAATTGGACCTTCGATATATCTGCATCTTTGATATACATATGAACATAGGATTAAACATAGGATCATGCTTTGTGTATGCTTCACGGGCTTCGTGAAATATACATTATTATCATTATTAGTGCATTAGTGGAGAATGTGGTACTCGATCGAAGGCTTTGGCAAAATCTATGAAGATTGCATGTGAGGTTTTACCATCATCATAGGCCTGGGCTACATTTTCCATGACATATAGCATACTGGTGATGCGTGATCTGCCAGGAACGAAGCCGTGTTGAAAGGGAGAAAGAAGGTTGTTTTCCTTCAAGTGTTCAATAATGTCTCTTAATGAGAACTTCAAAAATTTTGCTGGGGAGGCTAGTTAGACTTATCGGTCTGTGACTGCTGGCGTGATGCTGGGGTCCCCTTTTGTGGATCGGTGGTATGGTAGCCTTTTCCAGCCATCAGGGAATTCACATTTATCCAGACAGTTTTGAAACGGTCGCTCGTAATGTGGGGCTAGTACAGCTGCTGTCTCCTTGAGTATTCTGGGATCGATCTCGTCTGGGCCAATGAGCTATAAAGGTTTAGTGACTTTAGAAGTTTGAGTACTTCTTCGGTCTGAACAATCAAGTGCTCTAAGGGGGCTATACCTGACTTAGGCTGCAGAGCA